TCTCAAGTAGTTCTCAAAGAAGAGGTAACATCAAAACCAAGTTGCTTTCATATTACTTAAGAAATTAGCAGGCAAGTCTAGATGCTTATGTGTGAATGGCCTAATATATCAGAGAGAGAGATCAGAGAATCTACAAGCAACACAGCAAAGACTTCACGCTTCTTTTCTTCAGCATTGTCTACCCGTGGTGTTTTATATTTCAAGATAGGGTACACCTTTGAACTGGTCAGGCCTCTTCCCATTTCAGAGCTAGAAATCTTAAATAGTCGGAGCTTTGCCACTAACTAAGGCAAACCCATTCCCTCTCTGGGCCCTAAATTCCTAGCTGCAAGGTACAGAACTGATGTATAGAGACAATGCCTGAAGCCCAGAGAGGTCAAGCGGGATTCTAATGTCACACAGCAAGTTAGCAACAGATGATGCAAGACTAGACCCAGATCTCCTGATTTTACTTAAATCACCCTGCCTCCCACTCAACGCAGGTAAAGATGATACAGGCAAAACACACACACAGGCTTCTTTTCCCTCCATTTTCTGGCTCCTATATCTGAAAAAAAACTAAATATATTTTGCCCTGGGGCTCACTGCTGCAACTGTGATTTTCCTTTCTCCCTAACACTGTTGCTTTTCTTCTTCACTATACAGTTTGTTCATCCAACAACACACACACACATACACAAACACATATGCACACAGGCATGCACACACACTCGTCCTCCTTAATAAACTCTTCCTTTCCCAACAGCAAAGAAAGTTTAGGCCAGAACTGAACTGACTCAAATACTAGAACCTTGTTCTAGTGCTAAACGTGGCCATAACTCTACCGAGAAGCCCATCTGACACAATGGAATTTGTTCTCAGAGAGAAGGACTTTTCCCCCATACTGTATCATTTGTCAAGTAACATTGTCATCTCTCCCACTGCTGCATAATCACATAATGAAAGCCCCAGTGGAATGCAGGTACACAAGAGGGCAGACTTAAGGTTGATAAGGGACCCTTTACTTGCATTCTAACAGTTTTTTTAAAGAACAGGCAAAGTGCTCAATGTAGAAGGATAAAGGACAAAAAAAGAAAATTCCTTTTCCTGTTTTTATTAACAATGTGGGATAATCAACCGGTAGTCTGGGATCTTATCCAGAAACCATTCTTGTCACCATTTGAATACAGGGAGCATGAAGCTAGTCCCCAGCGTGGAATCCTATTAAATTATCTCCCTTCTAACACCAGGCTTCCCCTCTCCCCGAACACCTTCCAGCCACATTAACTAATGACTGTTCTCCATACACAGTACATACTTTAAGGTTTCCATGCTGTTCTTTCTAGCTGGGACTCCCTTCCTTTCTACTCCTCTGGCAAACTCAAACTCGTCCTTTGCACAAACCTGTAAAACAGCACTTAGCTCATGATAATGGTTCGTTCCCTGGACTTCTGCTTCCCTGAACGAAAGGTGAAACCTCTGCAGCCTCCAAGTGGAGCATGGCATCTGCCACATAATAGATGTTCAATTACTATTTGAGTTAAAAAGGAGAAACGTTTTCTAAAATACATTTGCTTATGTTGTAAGTTTACTGGCTGCCGCCTACTGCCCTCCAAGGGTCGATGTGGTCAGAGAGGAAGGGAGTGCCCGAGGACCTCTCAATGTCAAATGCGCTGGAGGAGAGCCGCAAAGGCTCAACACCACCCGCGGATCCTGTGAGCTGGCTGTATTGCTCCAGGGTGTCAGTGGCTGGGTGCCTGGAGCTCTCAGTCCCCTGGGACTTACTTACCCCGACCCCCGGCCCCCGATCTTGCATGCTCCCTACTCTCTGAGAACTCTGGCTCAAAGATGCCTTCCCATTATTCACAGACCCTAAGGAAGACCAGAATTCTGCCTCAGCTTCTTACTCTCCCTCTGCCACCTGGCTTCCCTGAAATTCACAAGACTTCATTCATGCCTTAGGACCAGGTATATATCTTTTCCAAGACCAGTTTTCACCAGTTGATGCTCAATGACAAATTTAATAGTATTTTCCTGCTCCAATCTCTCACCCCTTGGCTATACTGTGCCTATGAGAAACAACTATAAAGCTTTAATAGCAGAAATAAAGCTTTATGCTGACAGTTTTCCTTAGACCACAACAATAGCTCCCTTCAAACTACCTAAATATGCACTACACATATGGATAAAAGATCACAAATGTGGTCTACCAGACCCCAGAGTTGAGGAAAATGTAAAAACTCACATAGGTTCACAGGTTCCAAACACTGAGTCTAATTCCATATGCTGAGTTGGGGCTTTTAGAAAACCGTGAGTCTCAAATCTTGGTGACATTTGCCTTCTTTGGTGCCAGTATTCTGAGCAGGGTAATCTCTTCTTGGACTCTGCCTCTCACCTTTTCTGCCTGCCCACCTCTGGAGTCAGCTTTGACAAGACTTGGCCACGTGGATAAGGTAAGCCTGGGCAATGGGGCTTTGTTCTTCAGCAAAATAGAATTATCTTCCAATTCTGCTGGAAGAAACCTAGATGCTAATGACTTAATGCTGTTAAAAGAGTAGAGAGCATCTGAGACAAAAGTGCAAACCAGACTGTCGAAGGTTATATGTATAAAAATACAAGGTATGTATTTTTAAGGGATGACAGTAAGAAATTTCAAGTTTGATGGAATTGACTCTAGACTCCATTTAGGATGGATGATTTTATGGGATTTTTATGAAGACTGTAGGTGACATGCAGTCCAAAACCAAAAAAAAAAAAAAAGGCAGTTCTGATCACAAACCCTCAGGGAACACAAAGTTAGCATGGTCTAATGCCCAAAGGATGGAGTCTGCAGGAAGTTCTATCTCCTGAAATGTACAGCCCTCATATACTCAGAACTTTGCAGTTAACCAGTCCTGACTTGTCGAAATGACACTTTAGATGTGATGAGACCCATCATTCAGCATTTGGAATCCACTCATTCATGCAAGCATACATCAGGTACCAAAAAAGTCAAGTTCAGGAGCCTAAAGAGAAACCACAGCCTTTTGTACCGTGGGTCCTTGTGTTTTCTTCCTTGGTGGTAGAACAGAGGACTCGTCCCCCTAGTGTCCTGCTACTGTAAGTGGCTGAAGGATGGAGACACTCCTGCATTCTGCATCCACATTAAAGCACAGCTCAGGAACCCAGAACCCCAAGGAAACCTTCACATCTCCCCAAAGAGATGGAAGCTCTCTGGGACTTAGGAGGAGACCGGAAAACCTGACCTGTCATTTCCAAGGCCCTTATATCTGGTTTAAAAGCCAATATGATCTGCCATTACCTCACACTAAAAAGTTAACCCACTAGCCAGCACGCTTCACTACGTGAAGGAAAAGAACCCATACTTGTCAGTGGATGACTGCCCACTCCAGAGTGATCCAACATTTGCTTTGAACACCTCTCTATCCAACTGGGCAGATTTGTTTCCTGTCCTTGCCACTACTTGAAAACCCACTAACACCTAAATCTTGACAACTTCTGCCTCTCTGTTCCAATTAGTTTTCTTCCTGGTGTGGAATTAACAGGGCCAGCCTCGATAAACGTGTGTTCTCCTCAAACAATTTTCACTGAAGTAAAACACTCCTGAAATATAAAGGTATACTAAGATGTGTGAAACCTTAAAGCCAGGTTTTGTTTTGTTTTGTTTTGTTTTTTATCCCCAGTGAGGACTCCTGCCCGTGAGTAATTCATTCATGTCACCCATTTGTGAGAGATGTGAAAAGAAAACACCACTTATTCCTTTCCTAATTTAGAACCTTCCCTTGTCTTAAGTCTACAAAAGCTGACTCCTGGGGAGGGAAGACAAGCGAGGTAAGGAGAAAAATGAGCCTGAAGTGACTGCATCCACGGAGTGAATAAGCACTTTGGGTTTCCACCTGTGTCAGAGACGGACCGATCTGCATTTAGGGGAGGTGACCGCCCCACCTCATACCCCCCAAGAAAGAAGCAGGAGCCTGAGTGCTCTCTTGGGGAACTTACATAAGACCCTGTAAAACTTCCTGTGACATTCACAGAAAATGTAAGCTGCTATTTTGCTCCCTCAGGAGATCATTTTAATGGACTGAGTGACAAAATTCACAGATTCGGAATTCAACAGAAACCTGCTCAACCGAGGTACACCAGCTCAGGGACGAGAAAAATCCATCCCCATTAAACAGGGTCACCCGGGGGATGGATTCAATGTAAGAGAGACAATCTGTTCCCTCCTAAGTGACCCATTTAAAATCAGATTGTTCCAGGGAAACCTCAAAGGTTTAATAAATTTTAAACTGGCAAGGACAGCCTTGTAGGACTGAGGTTCCTTAAAAAGGAAAATGTTAAAGAAGGTAATAGAGCAATAAACAAAATAACTTAAGGATGCACGAACTTTGGAGTCAGTCACTACACCCTTCAGCAACAGAGACAGTCACAGGAATGCCTGGATCGCCATACACTGATCTCTCATCCTAAGCAGCTTTGTCTCACAGGACGGCCACTCTGCTTAGGTTTCCTCTCTACAGAGAGCGCTGCCATCCAACCACTCTGTCCTATAGAGGGACAAAAAGCTCTGGCTACTCACCCTAAATCGCCTTGACTCTCTACCACGAGGAGCAAAGAAAAGTTCCTTACAGCATCACACCAGGAAAGGCAGGTAAAGATCACCCAAGAGGGACAGCGAAAAACACAGTAGGATCCCCAAAGTACAGGCGCCCAAAGCTAACAAGCTGCGGGGACTGGGGGGGTGGGGGTGCGAGATTCGGGCACACCACCTCCCGCTGTGGACGGGACACTCCTCCTTGCTTGCCCCCGGTTAGCAGTGCCTAGGAGCGGGGCAGTCCCTGAGAAGGGTCCTGGGGACATCAGAGACTTGTGGACTTGCACCTCCGCCTGTCCAGGGCTCCTGACCCAGGAGCTGAGGGTGTGCCCTCACAGGGGATACCAGCTACAGGTTCGGAGAACTCGTCCGGCGCCGCTCACCAGGGCGCCCCCGCCGAGGCTCTCAAGCACCCCCGGGCTCTTACCTTGGCCGCGACTGCCGCCAAACACAGAGAGACCGCGGAAGAGCAGGGTGGCGCGGCGGCCCTGCCGCCGCCTGCCTACAAGGCGCAGGGGGTCCGGGTCGGGGTCCCAGCAGGCGCTGCCCTAGTTCAAGCGGCGGTGCCAAGCGCAGACTTCGGGGCGGCCCCCGGCTCCAAACGCTGCGGGGAGGGTCCGGGCCGCCCAAGCTGAGCACTGTCCCTTCTTTCTCTCCCTCCGGCGCCGCTGCCTGGAGCTGCTCCCTGCCCCAGGGACTCTTCCGAGCCGGGGGCGCCCCGCATGGGCAGGGGCCTGCGTCCGCCACGGGCCGGGTCCGGGAAGGGGGCGCCGGGGAGAGACGCGCGGCGGCCGCCGGGGCCGGCTCCACCTCCCGTGCTCCCCGCCGCTTCGCCCCTTCAGGGCAGGGCCTGCCCGCTCCCGGCCCCGCGAGGCGAGCGCGGCCGCGCCCCCAGCTTCGGGCGCCGGGGCTCCGCGCGGCGGCCGGGCAGCGGCAGTCCGACCGGGCCGGACGCCGAGCGCGGCGGCTGAGAGGCTGCAGCCGGCCGCGGCGCCCCCTCCCCCCGGGCCTGCGCCGCCCGCGGCTCCGCGGGAAGGAGGCGCTGGAGAGGGCCTCGCCCCGGCCTGGGGCGCGGGGCCGGGGGCGCGGGGCCGGGGGAGGCGCCCCGGGAAGGTCACCGGAGCGGAGGCGGGGCGCAGCGCGGTGGGTGCGGGGAGCCGAGGCGGGCGGCCCCGCTGCCGCCGGGAGCGCTCGCCGGCCTCGGCCGCCGCCGCCGCCGCCTCCGAGACGCGCCGGCTTCCCCGAGCGCCCGGCGCTCGGAGCTGGGCGGCCGCTGCAGCCGCCGCCGGCAGCCGGGCGCCGCTGGCCGGAGCCGGCGCGCGATCCCCGCCTCCCGCGCCTGGCCAGGCGGGGGCCGCCGCGCGGGGGCCGGCGGGGGGGCGGGCGGGCGGGCGCTGGGTCCGGGCTCCGGGCTGGCCCCGCCGCCGCGTGCCCAGAACGCCGGGCTCGCTCAGCAGCTGCAGTGACTGTGTGTCTGTGTCATGTCTGTGCAGCTGGGGGGGACCGCGAGCCCGGGCCGGGCTCCGGGCGGGGGCGGGGCCAGCGCGCGCCTCGGCGCCCGCCTCCACCCCGTGACGGCGCGGCCGGCCAATGGCAGGCGCCGCAGTCGCACGGATTGAGGGGCCACCCCCGCCTGGGCTCCGCCCCCTCGCGCGAGGCTCCTCCCTTCTACTGCTCCAGCTTGCTCGCACGCGGGTGGAAGCAACACCCGGAGCCGGGATCCCGGCCGGGGTCCGGAGGAAAGCGTGCAAGCTGGGAGCTCCCCGCCCGTCTCCCCCCACCCCGGCGGCTCCTGGCCGCCTCGGGCTTGGCCAGCCTCGCGGAGAGAGGGGGAAGGGAAGAGGGACGGGTCCGCAGCTGCCGCTGTCTAGACGCCGGCAGGCTCGCAGGGCCGTGCAGCCTGTCCACTTCCCCTTGTACAAAACCGCCGTCGTGGGAAGTAGGAAGTTTCCCCGCCTCCACTTCTAGTCGGGTCGCCGCTTCTCTCCGAGGTGGGCAGGGTATGGGGCAGACTGAGGCTGCGAGGAGCCACGATGAAGGGCTTTGACAGCATTCTTTGCGGCTCTGTATCCAAGAATCCGGTCCAAGGCTCCCTGTTCTTTCGGGAAAACTGCATTTCTTTGCCCCCCCCCCCCCACACACACCCATGCACGCACAACACGCCCCTTCCCGTTCCGATTTCATTCTTGCTCTCCTTCCCGGCACACGAGCCCCGCGCGCGACATCCCACTGAATGGACTTCCAGCTTCCCAGCCCTAAAGCCGAGAGTGGGGCGCCGAGAGTCCTCCGAAGCTACGAAGCTACGGAAGGAGTGGGTGAAACCGGCTGGGCAAAGGGGGCGGGGGTGTGACAATGGATGGAAGGAGGAGGCCTGGAGAGAAAAACCCAAAGGAGGGGAGAACAGGCCGGGAGAGAAGGACGCAGAGGGATGGGCAACTCTGACTGGGAGACCGGAGCTCCGGCGCGCGATCCAGCTCCCGGGTTTTTCCTCAGCTCGTCCCAGGGTTTCTGGGGTCCCCTTCCCTCCCGGGTCCCCACCCCTCCCCGGCCCGGCGGGCGCCGGGTCCCAGCCTCGCCTCCGCGTGCCTCTCTCTCTTTCTCGGCCCTAGGGCTTAGATGAGGCAACGGGAAGCCCACCTTACTCTCCGAAGGGGCAGGGAAAGGATGCAAAAGCAGAGATAAAGTGCAAGGCATGGGGGTAGAGGGGGGGTGCATAAGGAAAGGACGCCGAGCTGGGGCTGCGGTACCGACCACACTCCCCAGAGGTCAGGCTGGGGGCCCAAGGGTTTCGGAGGTTTGGTCCCTCACTCCGCTCGGGACCTGGCTCCCGCCAAGTAACCCCGCTCTCGGCCTTCAGCTCGACCCAGCCGGGACCCTTCCGCCATGCCCTCCCTTCCTTCCAGCCTCTTTAGGCAACGACCCCCCGCCCCAATGCCCCCCACCCCCACCCCTCGTGCACCACCACCCGCTCTTCCCCAGCTCCGGAGCGCTGTTTACCTAATCTCAGCGGCAGACCGAGCAGAGGAGAATGCAAAAAAAGAAGGTAGCCGTTACACAGCAGCGTCCCCGGCGAAGAAGTAAAAAACGCTTGCTCTGGAGCTTCAGGATAAGTTCACTGTGAAGCTGGGGTCCTGCTGCCTTATCTCCGCGGGGCTGAGTCTCACCCTTCAGGTTTGCAGGGATAGGAGATCGTATCTGGTTTTGATGTCACTACCGTGTCGGAGAAGAGCGTTTTATGATGAAATATTATCTAATATCCTAGAGACCATTAAAGTGTCAAAGTTTAATGCCAATCCTTTTAGCTCGAATGCTGCTCGGTTCTTCCTCTGACGTGCAGCTCTGTTCTAGAACGCGCTGAAAACAAGGAGATCATTTTTATTTTTTGCGGGTCGACCGTCCTTCCTACTCTTCCTCCTCCCCTACTCCAACCCCCGCCCTGGAACCGGGTAAAGTTAAAGCAAGAATTTGGGCTTGCTTTTTATTCATTGCATTGCTTCACTTCGTTAGTGGTGTAAAATGCATTATTACAATACATTAGCATATTAATAATGGTGACGTGACTGAGGAAGGGAAGGGAGACCTGAAATTTACAAGCAAAGGAGAAATAATGGAATAATATCAGAAACTAACTAAAAGATAAGCATCTGGTAAAGAAACATCTCAATTATAATTACCGAAGGGTAGTGCGTTGTCTAGATTGGATTTTAGAAAGAAAAACATGACCATAGTGAGAGAGGGAGCAATATTCACTCTGGTCAATAAGATACACTGAAGACATATTTCATTATTAGAGGATCTCACAAAAATTACTTGCATCAGTCAATAGGCACCTTAATGCATAAAGCTTTGCTCTATCAGTTCAGTATTGCAATGTTTGAAGTCGGTGGCATATCTAATGTTCTAAATGATAGGAATGTTGTCAGAGTGAAATATTCCACAAACGGAGCCCTTCTGTTAGTTAATATCATGTGAAGCCCCACATTAAAAAGAATCCCTTTGCCCCACCAATGGGATGGATAGGTGCATGGGTGTGTGTGTGTGTGTGTGTGTGTATAAAGCCTAAGGTAAGATGTACTTACCTATGAATTATAGCCCTTTGACACAAACCAGGATATAAATGTCTTAAAAGGATTTCAGCTATGACATAATATAGTATGAGAAATGCAGAATAAAATATGTAAGGTGATATATCTGTTATTTCTAAAGATTCTGCACTGCTTTTGCTAAGAACTGAGAAGTGAAAAAATATTGAGCCCTTTAAACTAACCGTTATCTATTTCTCTCCACACACTTATTGCACCTGTCACAGGAGAAATTCAGAAAGGTCTTTTTTTTTTTTTTTAATCAGGGTCAAGGAGACCTAATTCTAAAAACAAAACAAAACAAAACAAAACTGTCTTAAAACAGCCACTAGGGGGCCCTAAAGGCATCTCAAAGAGGAAGCCGGAAACCTGCTCTCACCTCCGCTTTTCCTGGTCTCATTTTCTGTGAACCTCAAGGAACTGGAATGGAATAAGAACATGATGCAAAGTCTGGAGGAAGATTGGATTTTACATTTTAAAACACCAGAGTCCCCCCCCAATAAAATTAAATTAAATTAAATACAAAATAAAATAAAATATTTCAAAAAATTAAGAAATAAAAGACCAGAGTCCCGTTTTCTCAATTCTTGTCTTGCCTCCAAAAATAATAATAATAATAATAACAATAATAATAAAGAATATTGCACTCATCCAGATGAAGGTGGCCTGATACTCTTACCATCTTAAAGTCAACCCAATTACTTTTACTCTTCCAAATAAAACCTCATTTCTAAGATTTCAGAGCTGTTTTCTGAATGTTTTGAAAGTTGTTCAAGTGCTAGGTAGGGAAAGCAAGAAGTCCTCACAGGGGTGATAGGAAACCTATACAACCTATAACAGCAGGGCACCTGCCAACCAACTTATGGGAAGTCAAGTCAGCCATGGGTCACCGGCACCAGAGTAGGGTCTTGGGGGGCCTGATAGGCCAAGTACTAATTCTTTGATGCTAGGTTCTGGTGAAATGGTGGTGGGAGGAAGGAACGGTTTTGGGAAAAGACTGTAGCAGCTGAGGTAGAGGGGCAGGGTGTGCGGATTGGGGGACTTACTGCAGGGGACACTTAATAGCCAGTATGGAAGGATTTCAATATTTTAAATAGTTACGTTTTATTTGCCAAAATAACTGAGTATCAGGCCTGATCGTAAAGTTGCTCAAATTGTTTTGTAGACTTCAATATCTAGCAATCAAATTTTCAAGGTTTCAGAAGACTTAGCAGTCACATAATGTTTTTCTCACGTCTTACCAGTAGATAAGGTTACAATGTCCTTATGAGGGTCAAGAATCAAACAGCACTCAGGTTGCACAGATAGAGGCAGGCTAGTTATCCTTCAACCAATGCTGGAGAAATATCTGCAAAAGATGTTCAATCCAGATGCATTTCAAGTGAAAATGTAAGTGTGTGGTGTGAGACATTCCTGTGTCATTCAGGCCAATCATCAAAAGACATTTCTGAGCAAAATAAAAGGCCTCCATCAGATCTAAGCAGGAAGCAAGCCACTTGCTAGCTGAAGATTTAAAGAACATTGCAAAAGCCACCGAATTAACACTAATGAAAGTGTGATTCGAACATAAGTTAACTAAAAACAAAGCAAGTCTAGCATTGAGAGGTGAGATGGGGAATAGGGATAAAGTCTTTCTTTCTTTTTTTTTTTTTTTAAGATTTTTTATTTATTTATTTGAGAGAGAGAATGAGATAGAGAGCATGAGAGGGGGGAGGGTCAGAGAGAGAAGCAGACTCCCTGCTGAGCAGGGAGCCCGACGTGGGACTCGATCCCGGGACTCCAGGATCATGACCTGAGCCGAAGGCAGTCGCTTAACCAACTGAGCCACCCAGGCGCCCCAGGGATAAAGTCTTTCTTAGCGGAATGAAAAATAGTTTATGTTCCCATCATCATGTTCATTAAGCAGGCAACATACATGTATTCTCAAAATAGCATTATTAACTTCCGGAAGACTTGCCACCACAAACCTCAGAGCCAGCTAATTAGACCAAATTTGGCTCTAGATAGAGAATCCCATTGTCTTTAGAAGAGAGGTTTTATTCCCTTACTGGATGTGAAAGTCCATCAGGGTAAAAACCTTGTCAGGTACATCGCTCCCTGATCACCTTATGATAAAGCGCTTAACTGGGAATGTAAAGGCCCTGTGCAGACAGAAAAGGAAAATCAGTGC